TAACATCTCTAGCTTTAGCTTTAGCATAAGGAGCTAGTCTAACATCTCTAGCTTTAGCTTTAGCATAAGGAGCTAGTCTAACATCTCTAGCTTTAGCTTTAGCATAAGAAGCTAGTCTAACATCTCTAGCTTTAGCTTTAGCATAAGGAGCTAGTCTAACATCTCTAGCTTTAGCTTTAGCATAAGGAGCTAGTCTAACATCTCTAGCTTTAGCTTTAGCATAAGGAGCTAGTCTAACATCTCTAGCTTTAGCTTTAGCATAAGGAGCTAGTCTAACATCTCTAGCTTTAGCTTTAGCATAAGGAGCTAGTCTAACATCTCTAGCTTTAGCTTTAGCATAAGGAGCTAGTCTAACATCTCTAGCTTTAGCTTTAGCATAAGGAGCTAGTCTAACATCTCTAACTTTAGCTTTAGCATAAGGAGCTAGTCTAACATCTCTAGCTTTAGCTTTAGCATAAGAAGCTAGTCTAACATCTCTAGCTTTAGCATAAGGAGCTAGTCTAACATCTCTAACTTTAGCTTTAGCATAAGGAGCTAGTCTAACATCTCTAGCTTTAGCTTTAGCATAAGGAGCTAGTCTAACATCTCTAGCTTTAGCTTTAGCATAAGGAGCTAGTCTAACATCTCTAGCTTTAGCTTTAGCATAAGGAGCTAGTCTAACATCTCTAGCTTTAGCTTTAGCATAAGGAGCTAGTCTAACATCTCTAGCTTTAGCTTTAGCATAAGGAGCTAGTCTAACATCTCTAGCTTTAGCTTTAGCATAAGGAGCTAGTCTAACATCTCTAGCTTTAGCTTTAGCATAAGGAGCTAGTCTAACATCTCTAGCTTTAGCTTTAGCATAAGGAGCTAGTCTAACATCTCTAGCTTTAGCTTTAGCATAAGGAGCTAGTCTAACATCTCTAGCTTTAGCTTTAGCATAAGGAGCTAGTCTAACATCTCTAGCTTTAGCTTTAGCATAAGGAGCTAGTCTAACATCTCTAACTTTAGCTTTAGCATAAGGAGCTAGTCTAACATCTCTAGCTTTAGCTTTAGCATAAGAAGCTAGTCTAACATCTCTAGCTTTAGCTTTAGCATAAGGAGCTAGTCTAACATCTCTAGCTTTAGCTTTAGCATAAGGAGCTAGTCTAACATCTCTAGCTTTAGCTTTAGCATAAGGAGCTAGTCTAACATCTCTAGCTTTAGCTTTAGCATAAGGAGCTAGTCTAACATCTCTAGCTTTAGCTTTAGCATAAGGAGCTAGTCTAACATCTCTAGCTTTAGCTTTAGCATAAGGAGCTAGTCTAACATCTCTAGCTTTAGCTTTAGCATAAGAAGCTAGTCTAACATCTCTAGCTTTAGCTTTAGCATAAGGAGCTAGTCTAACATCTCTAGCTTTAGCTTTAGCATAAGGAGCTAGTCTAACATCTCTAGCTTTAGCTTTAGCATAAGGAGCTAGTCTAACATCTCTAGCTTTAGCTTTAGCATAAGAAGCTAGTCTAACATCTCTAGCTTTAGCTTTAGCATAAGGAGCTAGTCTAACATCTCTAGCTTTAGCTTTAGCATAAGGAGCTAGTCTAACATCTCTAGCTTTAGCTTTAGCATAAGGAGCTAGTCTAACATCTCTAGCTTTAGCTTTAGCATAAGGAGCTAGTCTAACATCTCTAGCTTTAGCTTTAGCATAAGAGCTAGTCTAACATCTCTAGCTTTAGCTTTAGCATAAGGAGCTAGTCTAACATCTCTAGCTTTAGCTTTAGCATAAGGAGCTAGTCTAACATCTCTAGCTTTAGCTTTAGCATAAGAAGCTAGTCTAACATCTCTAGCTTTAGCTTTAGCATAAGAAGCTAGTCTAACATCTCTAGCTTTAGCATAAGGAGCTAGTCTAACATCTCTAGCTTTAGCTTTAGCATAAGGAGCTAGTCTAACATCTCTAGCTTTAGCATAAGAAGCTAGTCTAACATCTCTAGCTTTAGCTTTAGCATAAGGAGCTAGTCTAACATCTCTAGCTTAGCATAAGGAGCTAGTCTAACATCTCTAGCTTTAGCATAAGGAGCTAGTCTAACATCTCTAGCTTTAGCTTTAGCATAAGAAGCTAGTCTAACATCTCTAGCTTTAGCTTTAGCATAAGAAGCTAGTCTAACATCTCTAGCTTTAGCATAAGGAGCTAGTCTAACATCTCTAGCTTTAGCATAAGGAGCTAGTCTAACATCTCTAGCTTTAGCATAAGAAGCTAGTCTAACATCTCTAGCTTTAGCATAAGAAGCTAGTCTAACATCTCTAGCTTTAGCTTTAGCATAAGAAGCTAGTCTAACATCTCTAGCTTTAGCTTTAGCATAAGAAGCTAGTCTAACATCTCTAGCTTTAGCTTTAGCATAAGAAGCTAGTCTAACATCTCTAGCTTTAGCTTTAGCATAAGAAGCTAGTCTAACATCTCTAGCTTTAGCTTTAGCATAAGGAGCTAGTCTAACATCTCTAGCTTTAGCATAAGGAGCTAGTCTAACATCTCTAGCTTTAGCTTTAGCATAAGGAGCTAGTCTAACATCTCTAGCTTTAGCATAAGGAGCTAGTCTAAACTGTGTATATATTTGTACAGCTCATACGTAGTAACAAAAGTATGAAGTGAAAGTGAAGGAGAGAGGGTGTCCACACTTTTGCTCTGCGCTGTATACTTCTGTACATGTTAGCATTAGCATTAGCATTAGCATGAGGCTCTGGGACACAGTGACACATGTGGTTCTATATTGCACATTTTGAATATGTGCAATATTAAGTAGGTAGTAAGTAATGTTTTTGATATAGCGCCTCTCACAGTTGTGGGTCGGGGCAGTCATGACTGTTTTAGAAATATTAATGTCAGTATTTTCATTGATCCAGGAGCTAAACTGTGTGTGCAAAGTGAAATAATATTTATGTGTTGATTAGTTTGGCTCCAATGTTCGTAAACGTTCATATTCTGCAAACAAGCTTCACCCAGACCCCTCCTCCTGCGGCCCCCAGTTTGAGACCCCTGTTCTGTGGTTCATTCAGAGACACTGGCGTCTTCATCATGCTAAAGCTAGCTTCTTCATCATGCTAAAGCTAGCTTCTTCATCATGCTAAAGCTAGCTTCTTCATCATGCTAAAGCTAGCTTCTTCATCATGCTAAAGCTAGCTTCTTCATCATGCTAAAGCTAGCGTCTTCATCATGCTAAAGCTAGCGTCTTCATCATGCTAAAGCTAGCTTCTTCATCATGCTAAAGCTAGCGTCTTCATCATGCTAAAGCTAGCGTCTTCATCATGCTAAAGCTAGCTTCTTCATCATGCTAAAGCTAGCTTCTTCATCATGCTAAAGCTAGCTTCTTCATCATGCTAAAGCTTTATTATGCTTAAGCTAGAGCTGAATAAAGGATCTTAAAGAGTGTGTGACATCACACTCGTCTGTATTGTCGTTGGTAAATATCTGTTTGAGGATCGTCACGGAAACGACATAAGTGATGTTTTAGTCACATTTTTGGGAGAAACGGTGATTATGAAACTGATAATCAAAGTTATTTATGTTGAAGACTTTTTAACCTCCGCCTTTACTTTTGTAGAATCAGTTTCAGCTTCGTAAACTGTAGACTGGGTTTGATAAAGTTTTCTTTGAAATACTGTTTGTTGCATTTAGGGTTCAATGTTTATGCAAATCCTGTTTTAATAATAATAATAATGTGTTGGTTTTATTCAGCGCTTTTCTTGACACTCAGTTCACGTCATTATTCTCTCTCTCCAAACACGGTGGTGATAAACTGTGGCCACAGCTGCCCTGGGGCACACTGACAGAAGCGAGGCAACCAGTCTGTGCCATCGGCCCCTCCCACCACCACCAACCACTCACACACACACCAGACTCATTCTAATGTGGGGGAAGTGTCTTGCCAAAGGACACAACCACAGTTTGGCACTTTACAGCCGCAGCCGCCCCGCTGTGGCACCTGCTGTTCCCAGACGTCTCCCATCACAGAACTAACCAGGCCCTGACCTGCTTAGCTTCAGAGGTCTGACAGGATCTGGCTTTTGCCTTTGGCCACACACTGTTTTCTTGATAAAATGAGCTTTAAAATGATGAATGACCTTAGTCCAGACTCTCAGAGCTGCCAACGCAGTCCATGTGACGGCTTTTAGTTTTAAACCTTTTCTGTATCTTTATGTAATTTATTTATTTGCCATAATTATAATCATTATAATCATTGTTATTAGATTATTTCAGAATTCCATTGATTGGGAGCTGTCAAAATGACTGCTCAGGGGGTTGATTTGCAGTGTTAAAGTTGGGTGTCCACTAGGGGGCACCACTGCACCTTTCGCTGCTGTTACAGAACAATCCTCAGACTGACGTCACAGAGATGCGTTTTTCCTTTACAATATTTTAAAGCTCGGTTAAATAATGTTTTACACACAATGTCTCAGTCGTATTAGAACCAGTGTGGGCGGGTCCCGGCTTTAAAGTGGCCAAAATGACGTGCGCTGATATGCTGCTGTACCACCCCGGGCCTGTGGGGGTGGACCCAGAAGTAGAATTATCCAATGCTAACATATAGCATTAGCTGACCTATGGAAAACGTCTTTACAGGATGGACCAGTGTCTCTTGGCCCAAAGCTCCGTTCCACATGTGTGTCAATGCTGAGTGTTCTGGACCAGTCTAGTTTAGTCGCTGTGGACTTTAGAAGTCTCTCGTTCAAATGAATGGAGCTGCTCCGGCTGACTCATGCACAGATGTGTTTTTTCACAATGTTCTTGTGGGCGGGACCACTCGCGGCCATTTTGGATTGCTCCAGTAGAGCACTATTTTTGGCCCATTATAGAACGGCGAAGATAGGCCTGACTCTGTCTGTTAATATATACAGTCTGAGATTAGAACATATGTTGTTCTGTCTCTGTCACTTTTCTGTGATATCCACACAATATGGTATCTGCTGCTGCTACTGCTGCTACTGCTGCTGCTGCTACTGATATATTATCGATGTTTTGTCTAAAAAAATCTATTTTGGTTCTAATGGGTCATATGCATCAGGGCCATAGAGTGTCAGGTCTGGACCAGGTCTGGACCAGGTCTGGACCAGGTCTGGACCAGGTCTGGACCAGGTCTGGACCAAGTCTGGACCAGGTTTGGACCAGGACTAAAATAAATGAACGATGGACATACTAAAAATAATAATAAAAAAAAAAATGATAGTATTTGTATTGAATCAGTGAAAGTAACCCCACAGAAGAGAGACCAGAGAGCGAGAGAGACCAGAGAGCGAGAGAGAGACCAGAGAGCGAGAGAGAGACCAGAGAGCGAGAGAGAGACCCGAGAGCGAGAGAGAGACCCGAGAGCGAGAGAGAGACCCGAGAGCGAGAGAGAGACCCGAGAGCGAGAGAGAGACCCGAGAGCGAGAGAGAGACCAGAGAGCGAGAGAGAGACCAGAGAGCGAGAGAGAGACCAGAGAGCGAGAGAGAGACCAGAGAGCGAGAGAGAGACCCGAGAGCGAGAGAGACCAGAGAGCGAGAGAGAGACCAGAGAGCGAGAGAGAGACGAGAGAGAGAGAGAGAGAGAGAGAGAGAGAGAGAGAGAGAGAGAGAGAGAGAGAGAGAGAGAGAGAGAGAGAGAGAGAGAGAGAGAGAGAGAGAGAGAGAGAGAGAGAGAGAGAGAGAGAGAGAGAGAGAGAGAGAGAGAGAGAGAGAGAGAGAGAGAGAGAGAGAGAGAGAGAGAGAGAAGAGAGAGAGAGAGAGAGAGAGAGAGAGACATTAGTATATTTCTGGTATTTGTATAAAACACATTAGTATATTTCTGGTATTTGTATATTTCTGGTATTTGTATATTTCTGGTATCTTTAGCCTCATGAATCATGAATGAGTCTCTGCTGCAGCGTTTATAGAATCCTTCTGCAGCAAGAAAATGATTTAAACAGAGGTCATTCTGGGCAGAGGAGGAAGAGGACTTTACAGCTATATCCCCCCATAGTTACCCCATAGTTACCCCATAGCGACCACATAGTTAGCCCATAGTTAGCCCATAGTTACCCCATAGCAACCACATAGTTAGCCCATAGTTAGCCCATAGTTACCCCATAGTTACCCCATAGTTACCCCATAGCAACCACATAGTTAGCCCATAGTTACCCCATAGCAACCACATAGTTAGCCCATAGCAACCACATAGTTACCCCATAGCAACCACATAGTTAGCCCATAGTTAGCCCATAGCAACCCCATAGTTAGCCCATAGTTACCCCATAGCAACCACATAGTCACACCATAGTTACCCGATAGCCACCCCATAGCCACCCCATAACTAGGGGCTACCCCATAGTTATCGCATAGTTACCCCCATAGCAACTCCATAGTTACCCCATGACCATATGTTTTATATACAGGCATGAGGAGCAGACATTTTGTGTTTATGCTCCAATTAAAAAGATGCAATTAACTCAAAAACACAAACACCTGAGTAAAGCATTTTTACTCTCTCCACAGAGTAAACGAGAAAGACTTTGGTCTCTCTCTCTGGTCTCTCTCTCTGGTCTCTCTCTCTGGTCTCTCTCTCTGGTCTCTCTCTCTGGTCTCTCTCTGGTGTCTGATGTCTCTCTCTGGTCTCTCTCTCTCTGGTGTCTCTCTCTGGTCTCTCTCTCTGGTGTCTCTCTCTCTGGTGTCTCTCTCTCTGGTGTCTCTCTCTCTGGTGTCTCTCTCTGGTGTCTCTCTCTGGTCTCTCTCTCTGGTGTCTCTCTCTCTGGTGTCTCTCTCTCTGGTGTCTCTCTCTGGTGTCTCTCTCTGGTCTCTCTGGTCTCTCTCTCTCTGGTCTCTCTCTCTCTGGTCTGTGTTAGCATTGAGCTAGCGGTTAGCACAGTCTGTGGAGGGACCTGAACCCAGTGACGACTGTTTGAGACTGAAGCTGTTTTCTGTGGATTCTGTTTCAGTAAAAGTGTAGTTTTGCCTCGAGCTTCATCTGAGTGTCCCACATTCAGATCTGACTTCATTTCATTCTTCAAACACGTTTACACTGAGACATGACTGAAACTGGTTTATACCTGAGCTCAACTGTGAAAACTGCATTTAAGAGAGACCAAAGAGAGAGACCAAAGAGAGAGACCAGAGAGAGACCAAAGAGAGAGAGAGACCAAAGAGAGAGAGAGACCAAAGAGAGAGACCACAGAGAGAGACCACAGAGAGAGACCACAGAGAGAGACCACAGAGAGAGACCAGAGAGAGAGACCAGAGAGAGAGACCAGAGAGAGAGAGACCAGAGAGAGAGACCAGAGAGAGAGAGAGACCAGAGAGAGAGAGAGACCAGAGAGAGAGAGAGACCAGAGAGAGAGAGAGACCAGAGAGAGAGAGAGACCAGAGAGAGAGAGAGAGAGCAGAGAGAGAGAGAGAGAGCAGAGAGAGAGAGAGAGCAGAGAGAGAGAGAGAGACCAGAGAGAGAGAGAGAGACCAGAGAGAGAGAGAGACCAGAGAGAGAGAGAGACCAGAGAGAGAGAGAGACCAGAGAGAGAGAGACCAGAGAGAGAGAGAGAGACCAGAGA